GGAAAATATACCTCTTGCAACACCCACATTGCAACACTAATCAAAAGTGTTGCGTTAGGTATGTATTGGCAACTCTTTTTGTTGGAGTTGCGTATTAGGTAGTATACGCAACCCAAATTAGTTATATGTTGCATTTGCTCTATTATATGCAACACATATGTTGTGGTGTTGCGTATTCATATACTTTATGCAACATAATAGCAAATTAGTTGCAAAATATAAGGAGGGGTAATTTCATATGTGGACTTTATATCTATGGCGAGTCTTTTATTGATCTATGCGAGTAAATAATTTGATAAAAGGGAACATATACTTCAATGACTTGGACAACTTTATAAATAAATAAAAAAAGTACACTGGGCAACCGTTCGTTACTGTTTCACCTACTTTTTACTAAATAGCACATATATTCTTCTCGAGAAAAAGTTCCTGCAAAAACAAGTTCCAACGAGAATTTCCTTACAGGTAAAGTCGATTAGTTCGTTATAGATTTACAACCAGCTTTATGGACTAAACGATTCAACAAAATAGTGGCTCAAAATAATTTCTCTAATTATCATAGTGGCTTTGACATCTCTGTTTTACACCTTTGGCTAGAAGATAAATTTCTCACCGCCATGACAGTTTTTTACCGGTAAAGGTAAACCATTCATACTACTTATCATCACCATTATAAAAAAAACCATTTATACTACTTGATGCTAAAGTTCACCAACACATTCTATCAAATAATAAATGAAACTATTTACCCAAAAAAAATATGAAACTTAAACATAAGAGTTAATAAGATAGCCATTATAAAAAAAGTTAATAAGATAGGTAGAGACAACCATATAAAATCCATGACATATAGCAGTAGCAAACCTCAAACCTAAAGGTTGCTACCTAATACCCAAAAGATCTATCGTGATATGCAATATAAAGTGAGGGCAGATAATTATGTTAACCGTAAAGATTTCCTCCCATCCTCTTTTCCCTCCATACCATTATTATCTAATTAACCCTTAACTTTTTTCCCTTGAAAGATCACATCTACGGCAATATTAGAAAGGAAAGCCCAATATCCTTCCTATTAATTCTTTTTATCACTACTGGGTTCGCACGAAGATTAGGAACAAACCCTTCACCACTTTCCGAAGGCTTCAATACTCCTCTCTTCCAGCCGCTCGCCAGACTTCACCGAGAGCACCTCGTCAACAGGTTCTATGTTTTGTTTTTTCCCCTATAGTTATACAATAAAAGACAGCTAATTTGCGCCTCTCCTCTAGTCTGATTCGATATATACCCTTTGTTTTCTGTTTTGACATCAATGAGACCGGTTGTGTCACTTATACAAGAAGAAGGAAGATACAACTAGACTCCTACTATTATACGTACCGAAGAGACACGCTCACAGTCTTATGAGAATGGGAACAAAAAGTTAGCTGACTTCCAAGCAGAGCATGATGAAGCCCAAGAACTTGATGATTGACAAAAAAAAATCTCATTTGTGTCCCATGTATATTTTTTATTGTTTGGAATATTGGTTAGAATTGTCGTTAGCCAAATTGGAGTTGGAATCTTTTTCTTTTTGTATTATCTAGTGAATTCCGATTCACTATTTTAGTTACCATTTTTGTAACAAAATGATTGCCACAAAAGAAAATCATTCGTGACAAATCTATTCATCACCGACACTGAATTTTAGTGACGATCAAATTCGTCACATGGGGGACATACGTGACAGTAAACTTCATCACAAATAATTACTTTAGTGACAACCAACTCGACCCCTAAATCTACCTTGAATTTCAAAATGTGTATTTGTGACATAATTATGGTCACAAATGTAACTATTCGTGACAATTAGACATGTCACAATGGTAGTTTTCGTGACTGGACTACCTCGTCACAAAAAAAATTATTGACGATAATATTGTCACACAAGTTTTTATTTCCGTTACGAACAATGTCCCACATTTGAGTTAGTTATTCGTGACGATTTTGACCCGTTACATATACAAATTTTACTGTTGCCAAAAGTTGAAAAACCGTTGCCTATTTTACAAAAATGTGTTGTAAAATTTGTAAAATGTGTTGTCTAAAGTGGTGTTGCGTAAGAGGTAAGGATACGCAACCCTTTATATTTGTGTTGCGAAAAATGAAAAAACAGTTGCCTATTCTTTTTGCAACCCCCACTATATGCAACCCTACCAAAAGTGTTGCGGTAGGATTTTGCAACCCTTTTAAGACATAATGCAACACATTCGTGGGAGTTGCAAGAGGCCATTTTTCCCGTAGTGCCCGCACCTTGAATATTTATCTCCAACATCCTTTAGGGGGTCATTTGACGAGCATGAATTTTTGCTAACTAATTTTCAAAAGTGCATGTTTTCTTACTGTACGTACGTTGTTGCTCTTGCTTCGTTGTTGCAAAATTCATCTTATTTGGTAATGTTAGATCACATGTCAACATCATAACCCTTGCAAAACAAATATTGCATGCTATTAGTACATAAATTATCACAAACCCAACTTAAAAATTACATGATTTCTTAAAATTCCCCATACTCTACATTGCCAAAAGGTAGAATGTAATTCAAAACTAAAGAATCTCATAATCTCTTGTCTAAAAATTTGCAAGAAGAAAGGTAAGGGTAGAATTCAACAACTTCGTGTGTTGTCTTAATCGATGATTCCAGAAAGATTAATTGTTGCTTGTATTCATTAGGCTCAGGGTTTGTCATATCCTGCAATGTACGTTTATATATAATGGGATTCATTCCCCGCACCTTGAATATTTATCTCCAACATCCTTTAGGGGGTCATTTGACGAGCATGAATTTTTGCTAACTAATTTTCAAAAGTGCATGTTTTCTTACCGTACGTACGTTGTTGCTCTTGCTTCGTTGTTAGTGCAAAATTCATCTTATTTGGTAATGTTAGATTACATTGCCAAAAGGTAGAATGTAATTCAAAACTAAAGAATCTCATAATCTCTTGTCTGAAAATTTGCAAGAAGAAAGGTAAGAGTAGAATTATGGGATGTCGCACCTGCTGTGACTTGTGGCTCCACCACTATCATCATCACCGGTCACCGTCCACAAGCCCGCCGCCGCCGTCACCACCACCGCCACCCACCTCACTTCTCCTGTGGAATTTGGACACCAAGACTTTATTGCCATCAAATTTTCAAGAGTCGTTTCTATACCGTATCTATATTCTATATACAATTTAATTTTGGATTTTTTACTTGATACGGCTAGAATGTAGTAATGATGACAATGACCAATTTATTAAAAACAAGTAGTAATAGTTCACAGTTTATTATTAATATTATTAATATTATTTTGTATCTTTGTTGTCGGCATCTCATCAATTTATGCTTTAATGGTGTGTCGATTTGGTTTGGATATGTAGGTTTTGTCAATAATGAGAATGAACTAACTGTGATTAAGACAGAAATTTTGATTAAATTAATGTGCCCCTCAAAATCACATTATACTTCTTCGGTCCTAACCAAAGCTTTCAATAATATTTCAAACAAGAAGGAAATTTGTTTAATAATTACGGACATTTAATTATATAAATCTTGGTTCAATTATAGTAACTTGGTCTAAACTCCAAATACATTGACTTTGACTCTTAATATACAATACATTAGGATTGTTGGTTGATTTTGTTTTTTCTCAAGTAAGACCGTTCTTGTTCCTTTTTTTTATATGGATTTGGTACGTTTGACTTTATTAAGTGTACGTTGTATAAAAAAGAACAAAAGGAAAATACAAAGCATCTATGGTGAAATAGTATCTCATAATCACACATTATTCCGTAATTGATTACTCTATGAAAGTCGAGGAGTTCGGAATTTTCATATCTGCCCAAGAAAGGAGTGAGTCTATCCCGTTAATTAGTGGCTACCATAGTATGTTTACCATTTCATTTCATTCCTTTAGTGACCATCATATAACCAAATTAAGGTGCCGAAAGCCGATCGATAAGACTCTCCATTAGGGTTTTGCAGCAAAATCGTCCTGCTATAATTGCAAGAGATTTGTCAAAGTGGTAACTCTCTCTATCTCTTTCTGAAAGTTCCTTTGTTGAGGAAGACAGACAGAGGAGATCAGATCAGGAGTTAGGGGAGCATGACAATCTTGACTTTTTTTTTGGGTTTGGTACTTTGGTTAAACAGAATGATGTGTTTATTCACTAGTTTGTACATTTGCATTCTCTTTCCAATTCGATTGTTGGATGGCGATAGTGCATATTCATTCATTCTGTCCACACATATCATCACAATTCTATTGACAATAACAAACATCAATTTCACACTTCTCTTCCTTTTTCCCCTTTGGCCACCCATTCAATTGATCATTCATTATCATGATGGTGCCAATGGAAACTAAACCCTCCAATTTTATTAGACTTAATTTAGAAATACTTTTCCCATGTTAATATGTTTAAGTTTTCTTTTAGTGACGGGCGTGTGGTCCGTGATTGTCTAGATCGTCGAGTCGGTTCTAAACATCGAGTATATCAACCAAGTGGGTTGATGTTGAATTCGACCAATCAAGGTCAGCCCGAATATGCTCTGAAAATAACTTGGCTGACTGTTAAAATGAATTTGCTTGTTTTACCCGAGTTTGTTCGTATATGATTTAAACCTAAATCGAGTGCGCAAAAACTTGATAAGATGACCAGCTACGCTTCGATGTCACCTGGTTCAATAATTGACCATGGTGAGTGGTGACTGTCCTGGACCACAAATACCTACCTAACATACTTGAGGCTAAGTTGATAAGCTAATTAGTTAACGGTCAGTGTTGCCGTATATGTGTATATATACATTTGGCTAATCTCTTTTATGTGTGGTTATCACTTATCACGGTTAGCAGATAAATAACAGGATATTAGATACGCTGAAGATACCGTTTTTGCTTATCTGACTTTCAGCTGCTATAAATGCCAGTGAACGTCGGCGGATAAGACTCTGCCCAGAAACCCTTTATCGAAAAAGACACACTAGTAGATCCTGGCAGCTGGTTGGCTTGATTTTGTCTCGCCAGCCGCCATTAATAAGCTTCTCGTGGCACTTGTGCCACATATGTTTGGTGCTATTTCATCCCATTGCTATTAAGATAATCTGCGTCAGCAACCTGCAATTGCATTCTGAATATGAAATCAAAAGCGGATTGCAATGAACTATCAGCACTTGGAATTCAATGCATATGATTGGGCCGGCTGATCCAGCAGATATGCACTGATTTGGGTTTTGCCACTGCAAATACCAGAGAGGTGTACGGAGAGGTGTCGTTTGTGGAGCTGACGTGGGCAGCTGATGGTGATATTTTATCAGCATCTAGCCACATCAGCAGACTCGTAGTCTCTCAAGTATGTGGAAGTGATTGATGATGTGGATTGAACAGGAAGAAAGACATACATGTGGTAGAATGAGTTTACACGTTGGACAAACTGCCCAACTTTGCGAGAGTGGAAATATTGCAGAAGGCAGTACTGTCTACAAAGGGTTCAACTGGCCTCCTGGCACCAAATCAACATCAAAACATGGCAATTACAAACCATTATCGTAACAGATAGTCAGATACACCTTCCCGGTGTCTCGGTTTACTCGGATTTGACTCCACTCTTGGAATCTGACACCTTGATCTGCAGAAAGATGGGAGAAAACCTCTGCAGTCGGATGAACACAGCCATCACGGAAGCATTCGCCAAAAGAAAAACCAAGCTCGCCATCCAAAGCTGAAGGAATACATTCTGGCCTTTGAACTCGAGCAAGTAACCCCACAGAAGCCAATGCAATTGAGCTCCCATCCACAACCCGACACAACCCAGCTCTTCCCATCTCAGCTTCATATCGCTCCACGGCAAGATTAAAGGCAGAAGGCAAAAGAACCAGACGAAATACTGCGCTGTGATTACCTTGTTGAATGCTACAAACGCCACCGTCTGTAGGAAGAAGCAGAACGGGAGATCTTGGGCGAAGGTTGATATGAGAACTAGTTGCACGATCGACTGAGGCAAGAAAGATATGAGCTTTTCCACCAGGGATAGCTGGCGACCATACTGGAGATATATGTGGTAGAAGTAGACGGAGAAGTTGTGCCTTGGATCTGCACGAGTGAGGTGGTACAACAGCGCTTCGTTCAAGAATTCCCATTGGTATAGATGGAAGAAAAGCCCGGTGCAAAGGAAGAAGATGCCTCCAGAGACTAGACCGAATAGTACTCGCTCTTTGGAAAACATGGATTTTGCTGCTGTCCATAGGTTGTATTGGGTGGATGCTTCCATGCCGCTTTGGGATGATGGCCTATGGGCGTTTGATTTCCAGTTCACAAGGAGAGGCTTCTTTCCCAGTTGGACGTAACGTGGATTGAGGACCAAAATGATTGGCAGGGAGTAGATTATTGGATAGATTCTGAAATGGACTACAAGTCCATACCAAACTGCTGCCTGGATTATTTTACCTGCACAATAACCGAATTAGATACAGTAAAATCAACCCAAAGAAGAATATCACTGCTGTGTGCTGCAATAACAAGCCCTATAACTGAAATGTAGGTTAAACCTAAATGCTGAATCAACATTAAGCTACAACAGGTCTAAGGCACCATAAGCCTGTAACTAGAGAACCAAACTTAAATCAGTTTTGTTGTATGTCAAGCACGAATATGACGATAACTTAAAGGGCATTCCATTTACTCGGATAAGTTACTACGACAAACAGGTGAGGTAACACAAAATTTATGTATTTACAGCAGCAGGAGGGCTACTGATGAGATTAAAACAGGCCCAACAGAGTAGAGACACATTGCCAAGAACACAAATTTGATTATGCAATTCAAATGTGGAGACAGGAATACAGAAGTAGGATATATACCATTCATCAGACAGATAAGGATCCACAAAATCATGGCACAAACAATGGGCTCACAGTTCCCACGGGTTCCAATGGTGAAGGTAAATGGATTGAGGAGCCATACCATTACTGAGTATAAGCATAGATCCTCAGCCACCTTACGTTGCTTCAAAATCTTGTATATGAAGTAGCCAACTAGAAGATCTGCAGAGAATCAGTTCAAAAATACCCATTTAATAATCGTGCCCAATAAACAGCAAACGGAACAAGGTCAATTGAAGGCCAGTTCAGCTACTCTTGAAGAGGGCAAATCGAGAACTCTTTAAAGATTCCAACTTGGTAAAAATCACCAAGAATCCTAAACACGAAATGTTATCTGGAAGTCTGAAACCGGACCAAATGTGGAAACTTTTTCGCACCTGAAGCGGAGAAGATGAATTTGCCCCATGAGCGGTGCAGAACAGAGTTGGGAAGGAGAAGAAAAGCGAGCAAAGGGGAGTAGCGGTAAGTTGTTCTCTTGTAAGGAGAAGACCCAGAAGCCATTAACGAAGCTGCATCGGAGAAGACGAGGTAATCGACGTCGGTGTAGCGAACTTCCATGTGGGCATCCTGCCATTCTCCATACAGAATCAGAGCCAGCCGGAAGACGGCGGACCCTATTAGAAGGCGCCGGAGATTCATCGGCGCTTTCGCTGTCATTTCAGATTTGATAGCAAAGGCACGAAATGGAGATGAAAAGCAGACCCCCCGAGCTTGTAACTTGTAAGTGGGCTGGACTAGTTGATGAGCGAGCTATGCTTAACAGGCCCATCCATTAAAGCCCACTAAGCTGAGCTCCAAAACTCAGCCTAACCCCATCCACAATCACCACCACCACCATCCTCCGCCGCAAGCCGCCGCCGCCACCACCACCACCTCCTCCCATAATTCCCCACTGACCACTTCCGCCATAAACCCTAACCCTAACTCCCCTGACACCACTACCAAATGTCCACTCCATCTCCTACTTCCTCCTCTCCACTTGATCATCCCTCGTCGACGCCGTATTCGCCGGCGCTGGGCGCCGGCAAGAAACCCCAACCGGTGCCCTGGACCCACCAGCAAACAGTCCACCTGATCCAGGCGTATCAGGAGAAATGGTACGCCCTGGAGCGCGGCCAGCTCAAGGCCGGCCAGTGGGAAGAGGTCGCCGCCGCCGTGGTCTCCCGGTGCGGCCACAACGGCTACCAGCCGGTGAAATCCTCCACGCAGTGCCGCCACAAAATGGACAAGCTCCGGAAGCGTTACAGGGAGGAGAAACGCCGGGCTTCCCTTGGCGCTGTGTGTTCCTGGCCTTACTTTCGGTTGATGGAGGCTCTGGAAAGGGGATTGCCGCTATTGCCAATTCCCGATGGGTTTAATGGAGGAGAGGATTATGATTACGGTGAGGGAGAAGAGGAGGAGGGCGAAGAGGAGGAGGAAGAGGAGGAGGAGGAAGAAGAAGAGGAATCTGGGTATAGGAGTAGGTCAAGGAGTATCAATTACATAATTCGGCAGCCGAGTTCAAGTAATGGTTTTGGTGGGAGTGATTCAGGGAGTTTGAAGGAGATGGGTGGGAAGAAGAGAAAGAGAGAGGGAGTGAAGGAAAGGGAGAAGAATGGAAGAGGGGCGGCGGCATTGGTTTTGGCAGAGGAAATGAGGGCATTTGCTGGGAAGTTGTTGGGGATGGAGAAGAAGAAGATAGAGATGGTGAAGGAAATGGAGAAGATGAGAATGGAGATGGAGAATAAGAGAATGCATATGATTTTGGATGCTGAGAAGAAGATCATTGAGAGTATTCAGAATGCTTTTGGGACGGAGGAGAAATGAACGTTGAAGGATAAGTCTTTTTGAAAGGTTTTGTCTTTCTCTGCATTCTGTTTTGATTTAGCAGTGGAAGTATTTTGTTTCCTAATTGCTTTACCTTTTCACTGTTTGAATATAGTGGTAGAAGTTTACAGAAATCAAACTGGTTTTACAAGATAAGGGAATTTGTCATAACAATCTAATCATCTAGCTAAATGTGTTTACTTGTATGTATATGTGATAGGATCGAAGACTATAGGTAGATCTTCGTATTGTTAGTTGCACAGGCTTGAATCCTGGTGCTATTACTTGCTCTTCATTTCTTTTGATGTCACTTTTGGATACTTGGAGGTGTTTTCATACTGTTTTTGGGTAGGTCGTTACTGACGATGATGAAGTCCTAGTGTTGTGATTTGTACATGTTGCCTCTCGTCGAAGGATTTCTGCCCTTCAGTAGCTGATTAGGAATCAGAATTGTAATTGTTGTTTCCTAAGCATTGCAACCTAACAGGTATAAGCAAGCCACAAAGAGTTACTATTGCTATAGATTTTGTCAAGTCATAAGCAGGCCATAGATCGGTATCAAGTTAATGAAAAATGCTACAGTAAGATGCATGAAAATCTTAAATCTGTCGTCGAAGGTAGGCAAGAGAAGGCGTGAAGCTTTCTTGCACCTGGAGGGTTTTACACTGTAAAATGTAGTTAGTTGCAGGCGTCATCACGTTCGTGATTGCGTATATTTCTCGGGTCCTTGATCAATTTCACTGAGAGATTTTTGTGATAGATTTCAGCTCGAGGGAATTGAGATGTTATTATTTCTGAGAATAGAGTTTAAATCATCACTGAAAACTCTCATAGTTGAATCATCAGTAGAAAACCTGGTAGGCAAAATGTTGACTTTTCTTGAAAGCTGCAGTTTGGTAACTGTTGAAAGTAACTGATATTTCATGTAGATAGCCAGGGAAGTTTTCGAAATGTCTTTCTGATATTGAGCTGTTGAGTCTCGAAGAAGGAAAATGTGGGTGAACTGATTGAAAAGTACATTCTTCTGCTTGCATGATGTGCTTTTTATACTCTTTGTAGGAATTATTACCAAATTCGTTGGTCAATGTGTAACATCCAAGGAATCACTCCTCTTGCTAGTAATTTGGAGAGTGTCTGCCAAACTATGCAGTGGGGCACTATTCTATATTTAAAGGATGAGATTCTGATAGGCGTGTGCTGGTGATATGAAACCTTGAACAGCTGATTGTATGGTTCTAATTGTTTCTTCCTTTTGATATTAACCTTCTTTGCTTTCTTGAATTTCAGGCATTGAAGATTATTTTGGCACCTCTAACCAGACGGTTTTGTTGGTGTTGCTGACTGTAATTTTGGTATGCAACTTAAACTAGTTCTCTTTAGTTTTGATCTGATTTTCTCTGGTTATAGAACGTGATCGTCCATTTCGATTGCAGTATCTTCTGGAATGTGGTTAAATAGGAACTTCCATTCAGCGAAAAAACTAGAAACAAAAAGGAACTCTGCATATTTGAAGTACTTAGCTCTCTACAGAACCTCTGTGTGTATTATTAGTGCTGGGAATGATGAATTTTCATCCAATTGTGGGTTTATATAGAACATATTTGAAATGTGGCAGGTTCGATCGTTCCTGACACGGACCGAGTGCCATCCGATTCCGAGCTGATTTCGGACTCGAAAGCTAAAGATTCTTGAAGATTTTCTAATGTACACTGGATTCCAGGTAGTTGGCTGTAAAACTTTTGTGGGGGGCTGGAGAGGGTAAAGCTGAAGAGTGTGCATTGGATGGAAGGAAGGACATCTCCCAAAGCATTGATCTGTGGCACTTGCAGAGTGTATATTTTTTTTGTGTTGAATCATTGCATAGGCACAGTAATTGATCTGTGGCCTTCCCTTTTGTGCTTGACTCACTCTGTGCTGCATTTTATTAGTAATTGATCTGACCTTGGCCCCCTAATTAGTGGATTGAGATTGATATCTCGAATCGGCAATGGTTCGATTCAGAATTTGACCGAACTGATATAGAACCGAATCGAAAACATGTTCAGTATTATTTAGTCCCATATGACATTGAAAGTCTAATACAAACCAAATGTCAATTCAATTTTGATCGATTATATTTGGTTTGGTATGTCAAATTTGGAGGTTGTGTGGAAAAGAAAAAAAAAGAAAATGCTGTCGGAGGAGAAGGAAATCCCAAGTCCAGACTGGTCTAGGCCCATCAATCGGGCCCGCCCAATTCGGTCCTCTTCAATCCAATGCTATAAAGTAATAGCTGCTGCTGTGCCGCCGACGTCGTCCTCGTCATTCTTCATTTTCCTGCGCCGAGCAGCAAAGATGGAAAAGAGCGCCGGCGATCCACCGCGCGATTCCGATAACAACTTGAACTGGAGCGAGGCCGTCGAGGATCTTCTATCTTCCGGCGACACAGACGCCGCAATCTCGCGCCTGGAATCCGTAGTGTCCCAACTCCAACTCCAACCCACTCCGCCTTCCCAAGCGGCGGATCTCCAATTGGCTTCCGCTCTCACTGAATTGGCCAATCTCTACTCCTCCAACGACTTCTCCCTCAAGTCCGACGAACTTCGCTCCCGCGCCGCGCTCCTCAGACACCGCGCTCTTGGTTCCCGCGTGGACGATCAAGATTCGGACGTTGGTGCCGCTTCCTCTTCTCGATATGATGGTAAAGGTTTCTTTTTTACTGTGGTAGCGATTCTCGTCATTATGCTTTGCGGAAGTAGTAATTTTTTCATTTGATTCTTGTGAAGGTGCTGTTCAGAAATCTTCATCACATTCTGCTGGTGGTGGTGATGAAGCTTCAGATGATGGTACTGGTTTCTTGTTTTGATTCCTGATATTCCCCTGCTAACATCGCTTGCTGAATGCTTTTCTACTTCAAGACGATCGAAAGATTGCTCATTCTTTGTGCTTGGACGCTGAATTTAGCTTAATGTAGGATGATTGGTTTCTCATGTGATGTAGCTCGAACATCTTGTTTCTTGTGCTAAGTTGTGCATAACTTTTCATTTAGTGATTCGGGTCGACAGTGGTTTTGACTGTTATTGTGGAAAATTGGTAGATTGGGAAGCTGCGGCGGATCGTGCACCCAGTGAATTGCTCTCTCCTGACTGCCTGCCGAGTGTATCAGAAGTCTCAAAGAAAGATGAGGCTGACAAAAAGCCTAAGCGCCGTGGAAGAGGCACATTCACATATAAGAAGAACGGATTGTATAGCGATCAGCAATCTGATGCACTTGTTTCTGATGATGAAGAGGATGGGGAGGTGGGAGAAACTAGCCAGAGTGGAGAATCAAAACATGGTATTTCACATCTTAATTTACGTTCTTCTTTGGTTTAGTTCTTCTTTAACAGAAGTTCAAAACTTTGAGAGGTCATTTCTTGAATAGATGGAAAAACGTCAAACAGATTGCATCTTAAGCTTTAGCATGAACCCACTCTTTCCCTTAAGTTGGAGTAGTATGATAAGGATTCAGTTTTGACTCACCCAATATGACAGTAAATCTCATGATTCATTTTTCCAAGTTTCAGCTACGTATGGCACACATCATGTTCTTGTCCTGGCTGACTTCCCTCCCAGCACGAAAACAACAGATCTAGAAAGGTTTGTGGACGGCTTCAAAGATCGGGGAGTCTCAATCCGTTGGGTTAATGATACGACTGCTCTTGCAGTGTTTAGAACACCATCAGTTGGTAATTGTAAACTTAACTTCCTTCTGTAGTTGTTTTACTTCGGACTTGAACCCTGCTTTCTGAACTAAATTTTTTTTTCCCATCAGATGGTAATATATTGTTTCATACCAGCTTTGTCAAAGTGAACCTTTCATATGTCAATACTGCTACTATCATTGATTTTGTTAAAGAGTGTTGTTTTGTATTTACACATTCGATCTCCCAATACAGCACTGGAGGCCCGCAACTCTGTTAAATTTCCATTCACTGTACGTATTCTCAATGACGATGATGTCCTTATGAGCTCCATCTCAACCAAAGGTAAGTCTACTTTCTGCTTTCTTATTTGTTGCCTTACATGAGATTATGCATCTGAAAATAATAAATTTGAACCTAGGAAACTTGATGAATGTCGAAGTAAACCATAGGGTAAATGGGAGATGTCTTAACAGGTGCATGTTTTGGAATAATTATCCATTTATTGGTAACAGCAATAACCGCATTCTGTGGTGAATGCAGACTTGGAACCTCCGAGGCAACGGCCTCAAACATCAACAAGAACGGCTCAAAGGCTGATTGCTCAAGGGATGGGACTGAAGTTGCCTTCCCCTGGGTTTGGATCCCGAGAGCTCAAGAACCAGGAAGAAGCCAGAAAGACTCGGATAGTTACCAGGCAAAAGCTGAGGGATGACGCTTGGGGAGACGATTGACTTGCCAAATTAGTCTGCGGAATTATGTATATTGTTGGAGATTTGTAGCATTGACCTTGAGAGCTATAAGGTGGCCTTAGAACGTAACGTGGTTTGATTTTGGCTATTTGTCTTCCTCTTGATGTTCCTCTGTTTTGTCAAAGAAATGCTGGTTTATAGCATCAGATTTCCTTGTGAAAGTAGCGAAAATTGAGAGATATATCTAAACGATGATCGCATGTTGGAGCTATCAAAATTTGCCTCATCATAGGTCTGTTTACTAATACATTAATACTCGAGGAAGTCTGATGCAATGCCAGCTCCCTTAAGCAAGGCAAAGTCACTAATTATGAACTCTTTCTTGAGAGGTTCTTCAACCCACATCCCATACATTTCAGTATGACTGTCTTTGTTGATGTATCCATTTTAATATTGAATTCCACGCCGAGAAAGTCTTTGATCTGCCTCAATGTTTCGACTCCATATGGCATCAACTTCCCCACCCTAATCTTGGAAATGTCGGGAGGGCATAGAGCGCAGAGGAGAAACAACAAACCCTGTAGCCAAAGAAGTAACAAAATGATTACAATAGTTCTTCGATTGCTATTCTGAAAATATTGATCCCAGGGTGGAAACAGACGAACCTGGTGTGAGGAGTCCACCACTCCACCCAGCTCGATCTCTTCAAGCAGAGCGGAAGCCATGTCTTCACCAACATCCTGTGGAGGCTTCAACTCTTTCTTCTCATCTTCCATGTCACCAACATCATCCCCCCTTGCATAAGAAATCGTAGTATCAGCCGAAATGCAGCAGCCAGCATTAGTTTCGGCAACCAAGGAGATTCCATAGCCAGGAGAACTGCCATTTTAGCACTCTTATGTCAGATCAACCAGTTTCTTTTAGAAAAAACAAACAAAGACTGAACCATAAACAAGAAACTCACTTTCCAGCCTGTAAGCCTGCTTTGTGATCGGTGAATATATGAACATCAGGAAGCAGATTATTGAAGATACCACGGGCAGCATGGATCATTTGGATCTCGAATTGAGAAGATACTTTGGCGGAGAAAGTCCACCCTCGAATCCTTTTGACCATTCCCTCATCAATCCAAGTGACAGCCTGTATTGCAAGGAAATGTATATAAAACCAGGAGGTCGAGATTACTAGTAACGTTCCAACAGATTTAGAGTCTCACCGACAGGGCTTGAACAATAGGAACAGATAAAACAACTTCTCCTCCACCCAATGGCGGAACTCCACGGCTCTCTATTTTAAGATCCAGTCCTTCAGAAGGAACCCCAAATCGCTTTAATATTGGCAGGGTAGTCGAGCGGAATGTGTCAACACATGGATCTTTCGAGTCATTCGTAATCCCTGGAAATGACACGATCAGGTGACAAATTTCAATTGAGGCAATGGAAAAATAATCAATTGCATGGATTCTTGTTCCGTGTGAAATACAAATGAGGAGCTATAATCATACTCTGAGCTGCACAAAGGCTAGGTAACCCACGACATTGATTTGCAACTCTCAAACACACAATCAGGCCCCTTGATTTCCTTCTTAAGTCTAGTTAATGCAGGCTGTAGAATCCAAGAATGTGCACTAAGAGTAAGAACAGCTAAAAGCTCGTACCTTTGAGCCTTATCTCGAGCGGCTTCTTGCCAAACAATCCGAGAACAATCAATGGTTCCAGGAAGTATCCAATTGCTCGACTCACACCACAATCATGAGCAACACGCCTTCCCCCCATAACCACACCAGGCTTGTACTTGAACTTCGTACCTGTCAAACACATGTTCAACAAAATTACGTATAACCATAAGGCTACTTCCCACACCTGAGCTGGAACAAAGTACCATCACGAGCCAGAAAAATGCTAGGAATTCATCATCATTACTAGTTCTCCACAGATAAAGCTTGAAGCTTTCCAAAGTATCGAAAGCTTAGCCTAGAGCTGACTGTAGCTCAAAGAACCAGAACATCCTTAATCCCATCGAAACACCAAAGCCCAGCTAACAGTTGGCATGAATGAACACTGAATTCTGTAACTTCAAGTAAGAAGTAACTTTTACCGGTATCATTGATTTCGACGACGCAATCATCGGTGACTCGGTCAAAGAGGCGGAGAAGAGAGACTTCATGAGGGCGGAGGCCGGGGAATTTGTCGTCGGCGCGAATGTCTTCGACGAGAATAGGAGTGCCAGAGAGCGTCGATAGAAGAAGCCTCTGCCGGAGGTTCTGGGAGCCCTTCATTTTCTTGTAGTTTACTTTCCCCATGATCGGAATCGACGAGTTATTCCGGCAAGAGCAACTTCTCGCTTCAGCAACAGCTCTCCTTGGAGTCTGACGATTTTGGATTAGGGTTTTTCCTAAATTCTAATCCGTGTTTGCTGAATCGCGAAGTCGGCAAATGAGGGGTTTTAGGACCCGGCCCGAATCAAATAAACCGCTTGACCGCAAGCGGGTACCGGTTGGCTACGAGACAGCCGGCGGCCCGATCACACGGCCCAAGGCCACCGGTTAAATGATCGAGTGGTTACCAAAGTTTCTGTGATTGACAAATCAATCACCCAAGTTTGATTTCCCCCCAAAATCAACCTATTTTGATTGTAATCGTAATTTGTTTCCGTTGAATTACCTCAAGTAACTTGTTCAGAACATACAGTGGTATTGTTGCATATGGGAATTCCTTAAACCTGAGGATATAATTTGAAACTTGAAATATCAAATTGGATTGTGTGATCTCATTTTATGTGATGTCCAAAAATTGAAAGCTCATGTACGCTCCAAAATCACGGCCCACTGTTCAATTCACCCTCGCCGTTAGTTTCCTTTCTTCATCGCTCTTGAAATTACAAATATTGCTTTTCTTTGTACCCATTATTCATCGATTATTAACAATTTCTTCTAGATGGTTTCTATCTTTTGATAATTTTCTCCAACATAAAACTTTTGTACCGAAATTATCAAACTAGAAAAGTTCGATGGTCATAACGTTGTTTTGAAGCCTGCTTCTTGTGAGTTGAGAATCAGATCCCCTCGCTTTTCTCAATCTCTCTTCCGAAAACCCTCTATCTCTCTGTCCTTCCCTCTCGTCTCTTTTCCTCCTTTTTCTTCCTCAATCTTTCCCCTTCCTCTCCTCAATTCTCCTTTTTCTCCTCCAATTCATCCCTTTCTCCTCTAAGTCCAGTCTCTTTCTTCCCCGATCAGCTCGGGACCGAGTGTTACATGCTCACACTTGTGCTGGATATGGTGGGTACAGGTGCTAGCTAGAGTTTGTGGCAGCAGTTTGGGCTGCTGAGTGGCATAAAAAAAAGGAGCTGCTGAACAATGCTTTCTCTAAGGTTTCTTATTCTCTTTCCCGCATTGAACTGTGATGTTTGCTGTCTTTGCTCTGAAAATTGATAATCAATCATCTGGTAATTCGTTCTGGGCAGTTTTTTTTACCTTTCCTTTGTGCAATGGGTGCATGTTCTGAATACAGACTTTTGCCTCATGGGTTTTTTGGATTCCTCAAGTGGATGGATTTTACTTCAAGTATTGCTCCATTTTTCATACGTTGCATGTTCAATTCTCTGATTGTTTGCTTGCTTGAAGTTATTTGAAGACAATTGTTAACTGTATTGATATTGAGTGTGTTCTCCGGATTGTGACATTGTAGGGACTTTTGGAGAAGGCATAAGAGGAAGATTCTTGTTACTGCTGGTGTTGTAGGAAGCGGTTATTGTTTGTACAAAGTGTATAACACATATCAAAAGCAGCTCGCTGATCTGGAGAGACTACTTGCTGCTGAGCAAGAGAATGATGAACTCGTTAAGGCTCAGTTACGAGAAAGAACTCTTCTTTTTGTGTCTCTATTCACTTCCCCTGATGCAGTTGGGAGCTGGGAAGCTGGGTTCTTTGGTATTATCTTTTGACTGGTTTTAGTGTTTTTTGGTTCACAGGATGCAAGCTCATTTCGAGAACATACAGACAATAGCTGATACTGCAACACTGCCACATTCTATTAGTTATTTGAATAGTAGGATAACAGAGGAGTTGGACCATTCGTTTATCACGGAGGCCTTACAGAAAGGGAAAAGCCAGCCTACTGCTCTGACAACGGCGGAGAAACTTGAGCTATGGGACAAGCTCAAAATCATAAGTATGTGGCTGGAAAATCTTGCTTCTTATGTTTGTTATGCTTGACAGTGTATAGGTTTATCTTGTCTAGTTGTTCCATTGTTGGTTGGTTAGCACGCATGTTATGATGTATGCATTCTTTTTGTTCTCCAGGTTTCACGAGGATGGTGGCATCACTGTGGGCAGTTACATTACTTAGCTTATATATTAGAGTTCAAGTGAATATTCTTGGAAGACATTTATATATTGACATAGCACGCAATCTGGAGAGCTCTTTTATGTCGGTAAGACCCGGTACATATGACACATTTTCCCATTTATATCTTCATTTGGGTACTGTATAGTTCATTCTAAGTTTAGAGAACAAAACATTCTGATTTCTGGGATAAATTGGCATTAGTTACCTGTCTTAGCCTGTGTCCACAGGATAATGTGCCTGTAGTATTTGCATCTTCTACCGTGGCCCCATAGTTGAACTGAGCACATTTCTTTAGTAAAAGCCTAGTTGAGTCTGGTATAATCTTTGCTACTATATCTTGTTTGTTCAGCTGAGACTTGTTGTTTATCAGGTACAATTTATTGGTTCTTATACTGCAGAATGAATGTCTTTTACAATTATTTTCATGCAGAAAGAGAAGTAAGAATACTGTATACTGTCGTGTCCATAATTGGTATTTTTTAAGTGGAAATTGTTGCTTGTTAATTGGTATTTTTTTAAGAAGAAGTTAAGAGTCTCAAAGGGAGAAAAAGCTTGACGAGAGGAGGTATTCAGCTCTGGTTTGGGTGACAAATAAATAAACTTAGGTATATTTTGAATTTTGGAGTCTCTCTTGATCTCCGCTGGATGGTTGTTAGCATACCTTATATCAGGATTGGGGTAATGGAAATGAATTCTTTGTTTGATTTGGGGTCGGTGGCAAGGATCCTCCTTAGTTTTCTCTTACATGGAGAATCGGCAGTTCGGCAAGTAGAATAATTGTGGTATTGAAAGTATACAATAATCTATTTTTCTGAAATGAAATTGCTCATTCATAAATAAAAAAGCATATGGCTTCAGTTTTCATTTGTGACGTATGTATGATATCTTATTTTTCCCAAACTGCTTGATTTTTAGCTGCACTTGAACATATGACTTTTACATCTTACGTTCTCCTTGCACGAGTCACCCGTCTTCGTTTCTGGTCCACTATCCCCCCCCCCCCCCCCCCCCCCCCCGGCTTCATGAACAACCTAAATAAATAATCAAGCTATCAGCAGGACTAACTATATTAAATGTGAATTTGGCCATGTAGTTCGCTTGCTGGAGATTTCTGTCATAGAAATCAAGCCTTAGCGTACTAGGTTTAGATCATATGGATTGAGCAAGAAATGGAAACAGTTTCCATCTTTAGAAAACTTTGCATGGTTTCAATGAGCACTTGTGACTTTAATAGTGACATAACCTTTCCACATTGTTTGGAATTAGGCTCACTGGGATGCTGTAGTTTCTTATCTTTAGGAAACTTTGCGTGGTTTTATTTCACATTGTAATTTTGGATAAGCACTAGTGGCTTTAATGGTAGCATAACCATGTTATTCTTCCGAATTGTTTGGAATTGTATCAACTGGGATGTTGAGGGTCCATCCTGACCTGCCTCCACACAAAAAGGAAGACAAAGAAAATGGAATAGGTAGACACGATTGAAAAGGTGAAACTGTATGTTTTTCTACCAAGGCACATGGAATTATTCGTTTACTGCTTATGCATTTGGAAAATATCGACGAGATAGACATTGGTTCTGGGCTCTTCTACTATAGATCTTGCCCCTCTTTTTGAGCATCATCTATACATGCCATACCTGTTTGTACTGAAGTATGAATTTATGGTACTGTAGATTGTATTTAAACTGTTCCAGTTATTATTTTCTTGATTTATGTACATTTCTATTTTAGAACTACTTATGCTTGTCCTTTTCCCTTTGGTGACAAATGAGGATCGGATTTGTTTTCACCAAGTTCCCTGCGTTATGTTCTTGGTTACAGCTCAAGCATATCAGTGATTACTCTTTGCATGCTGGAATGCCTATGTTATGTTCCCCACGTGTTTTTCCTTACAGATAAACCTGTCTAATTTATGTATGTTAGTAGTAATCTATCTAATTTCCCTTGTGTAGGACGATGCGGATCTCATAGACAGAGATGACCAGCAAAAATATTTGGCTGGCTCCGATTACCTTCCTCATTCTGGCTTGCTTGTGTTGGCTGATGATATCCAAACAGCAGTGACAGAGGTTCTAAAGGGGTAAGGCTTCTCACATATGCATGCATGATGTACTTGTCTGACCTAGAATCTGCTTACTTGGATCTCTAGAACTCTACTTTATATTCCGTTGGATCACATTTTGTCCATTTACTCAAGTTTGAAACTTCAGTATGATTGCGAATTATGCAATGAGAATGTTGGTCTTAAAACCAATTTGTTCATGAAGGTTTTCTCAACTTCAATTCCGCTGCATGCAGGAAAAAATTGAAGGATTCCTTTGACGCAACAGCAGTACGTGAAACTGTCATAAAGATAACTGACAAGTTCATAAGCACAATGAGTCCCGGCAGGTGGGTAGATTACTTGATGCCCGAGGACAGCAGGTTACACGAACAGGCATTGATGGTCTCTGGCGGCAGTGACATGTTTCCCTCTGATCTTACAAAATTTGATCATCTTATGCTGGAGACACGCGAAGTAATACTGAGGTGTGTTTCATTATTTGACTTGGCATAGCAAAGTCACTTTTTAAGAAAAAGCTCAAACAAACACACCCTCGTGGTATACAGACAATTAAGCATGCTCGTTGCTTCTGTTTTGGCAGCCCGGAGTTTGGCAGGGTTGTGGAGGTATCTCTGAAAGAACTGGTTGATGCACTGGTGGAAGACTTGAAAACACAGACCACCGAGGGTACACTAACATCAGGGCTGCCGCTGGTGAAACTCCTGCCTCGAGTTGCCCAGATGAGTTCATCCCTGCTCAAGGAGCCAAGCGAGAATCGTTATATCCAGATAATCCAAAAGTCCCCAGAGGTTGAGCTCTTCTTCACTCTCTTGTATGCCAATACACCACCACAGCAGCCCTAGATAGAGTGGACAGCATGGCTTGGCTTGTAACACCATCACACTATTACAACATTCATTCTGGTTTTTCTTCCAGCATTTTGTTCTTCAGGCAGCAGCAGCAGCAGGAAATGTAAAAAGGGTTTGTAATGTGGAACTAGGTAGATTTTGGGTTTCCAGTATTTAAACACTACATAAGAGAAAAAGGAATACTTTAGAACGCAGAAATCGGAAGGTGGAAGGGAAATGGAATTGGTAATGTTTTTCTTGGGTTAATTGCATGTGCATGGTTTTTCATTGAGATTATAAAAAACGTTCATATTTGATTACTGTAAATATTTAAATCCAATCTTGGTCACTCAAATTAGTTAAATGGTTCAAGTTTGGTCACTCTTCGTCCAACTCCGTTAAATTTGTCTGATGTGGCAGTCAACCCTCAAAGTTGACCGTTAACTCAGTGACGTGGCAATTAAAAAATAATAAATAAAATAAATTTTAATCTTCTACCATTTTCAACTCATTTTCACAACAAAATAAAATAAATAAAACAAAAAAATATTATAATTACAAATTGAAAAGGGGCTCATCACCGACCACAACAACAACCACCACCTCTCCTCCGCCGCCGATGACAACAATCACCGCCTCCGCCGCCTGTACCAGGACCTCTCCACCATCCTCCCCCACCGACTCGGCCCCGACGATCTCCTCTCCAAGGACGTTCCCCTGACGCTGCTTGGCCACGTCGATTCCTTCCTTGGTCTTGCTCTGTTCTTTCAGCTTCTTCAGGCGCATCTTGTCCCTCCACATGCGGCGCTCCAGCTCGTCTACGTCGATCTCATCCTCGTCGCTGTAGTCGTCGTCCGCGTTTTTAGAAAGATGATAGCATGATAATGTCCAAAAATTTTTTTGTTTTTTTTTTGTTTCGTAGTAGGAAATGTCCAATTTGTTTTATTTAGTGACCTAATTTTTTATTTGTTTAGTTTAATTTGAATTCAAAAGGAATGATTATCAGTGATGAATTCTCTCCTACTAATGATGTTGTTGATTAAGGGTTCATAATTCATCTTCTAACAGTATTCGCGGGTGTATATCAGGTGCATGAGACAACAACAACAACAAAAAAAGAATCAACAATGATCGAAATCCTAACCTTGATATATTGAAATCCTTACCATTAAGAGTTAATATTGACATTAATCTAATTAAAATACTACTGAGAAAATAAGCAGATTCTAAAGGGCACACCAGGAAGAAAAGAGTTCATGCTCACAAGTCTTAGCAATCACAGATGTGACCAATAGAACAGCAACAATATAAGCATAAAATGTGTTACGAGACACGAAATTGGTGGATTGGTATCTGGCGCTCAATCGTCAATGATATTAAATTAAAAAATGAGTACATATTTATAGATATAAAAAAAAATCTTATAATCCTTCTCCTTTCCTCCCCGATTCGGCCGCCTTTCCCTTTCCCTTTCGTACTCAAAATATGAACACTTCTCTTCCTACAAAGAGAGTAGCATCATACGGAGAACGGAGGGAGTAATAGAGATTTTCCTTCTCACCGCAGGAACTTTCAATGTAATCACAGGTCGGGCCCTCCACAAAATGCCGGCCCAATAAGATCATATTAGGATATGGGCTTATGAGTACTGATAGCATGGCGGCGGGTCCGGAAGATTGTCACTGAAGTAATAGTCAAAATCGATAAAAAAAAAAATTATCAAAGAAGGTCAGGGAAAAGTAGTATTCCAATCAGAATGATCAATTTCGTTCATTGAACAAAATGACGCCTTTTGATGAATTAAAAAATAAATTTGTTAGGTTTAAGTATGAACCTTATGCTGTTTGTTGGATTAAAGTATAGACGTTTGGATGTTGAAGGCTTTGAGTATGTGAGTAAATATGTCTCATTTACAATTTAGAAGATAACTTATGTGTTATGGGGTTGATGGATTTCCGTGAAAGTCTTCCCCAACGCCACATGGCCACTTTCTCGCATATTTTTCTTGAGAGGGATGGGGGCGGATCAACAGTTCCTAATGCGAATAGTGGCAATGTTTTTGGAAGATTTTTACTGCGCGTAATTTGGTAGTGTTTTGAGTTCACTCAGTTTACTATTCATGTGCTTCCACTAAAAAAAAAAAAAAGGACAGACAGACAGTTGTGACAAAAACCTATTGATGACACTGTTATTTCAAATAAAAATTGAACGGAAAAGGGTAAAATGATTTGACAATAATACATAATACGAAAGTTTTTTAATAGATAAAAATACGTACGATCACATATACATATATTATACGATATATGTACTAGGTTACTTGTTCAACAAGATTCGTAATTAAATAGCCTGCAGATTCATTGGCATCCATGACTATAATGAAGATAAAAGTTGGACATGGCTATTGGCTAGGCCGTATGTTGCCTTGCCTGTCCCTCTCAAAGGTTGATTCCCCTCTTGATTCTGTTTCTCTGTGGATAGGTCACTGACATACTCTATTTGCCGTTATATTCACAACCCATGGTTTACCGAAACCAGAATTTGCTTCGATATATGATTCTCCTCATGCTTAATTAGCTTGTTGCTTTCCTTTACACAAAATCAACTAATCACGTTTAATAGGCCAGCAATTATCCCATATCACTTATTACATCATTCACTTAATTAAATATCACATCGTTAAAGCAAGAGGGCTAGCATGCATACATTGAGGGTACAATATCCAAAAAAAAACTTAAACAACCCATCCAAAAATATTTTACCCATCAAGGATTTCCATGTATTTGACGTTTTGTTTATACAGTTCTTGGAATACATTTTAGAACTCATATTATAATTTGGCCCGAATTATACACAAATTTTCTATTTTGGCCCATGGTTTCGAAAATATGGTACATAATTCATGCGAGAAAAGCAATTTTCGAAACCATGAACTAAAGTAGAAAGTTTATATATAGTTCGGACCTAACTAAAGTATCAACCCTAATTAAAACACCCATTCATTCTAAATAAAGAGCCATGCAAGCGCTTAGGCTGGTTCCACGCGTGCATAAAAAGATTCAAAGACAAAGTAGTTAGTAGATCCCCTTCCACGTTAATTATGATGTCTTAGCTAGCACCAATATCATCACTTCGCGTAACCATAAATTTAGTCCAGGTAGGTCCAACGTAATAAAATAAAAATAAAAATAATTTATTAATGTTTTATAATGATATATTCGTGACGTGTTTTAATTTTATATTATGGAAAGTGTTTAAAATACATTCATCATTCAAACTATGAACGATGTCACTCTCAATTTATCCAGCTAAAGGTCATTTATGGAACATTAAACTATGTCGCAACATATGTTAGATGTTAAATATGAATCATGATGCCATGGCTAGGTTAGTGGTGAAGATGCTGGTTCAAATAGGGGGCCCTATTTTCGGCTCTTCCTTTCAACAAACCGTTGGTAATATATTTTACAGTACTGTTTGCAAAATAGTACCGATGATCCAACCGAAAGAACCGCCCATTGGAGCTCAAGTTGATAGGTGATTTTAGTGGTTTGGAATAGTTAAACAATATTTTCAACGCCAAACACTTTATCGCTTATTTTTCTGGTACAACTTTGAACCTACAGTACGATTTTACAATCATTTATATTTTTTGTATGCGTGTATGGTATGTTAACAGGGGCGGAGCTAGGATTTTAATCTCGGGGTGGCCGAAGTTGTTTAGTTTACCATGACAAAAAAAGTTTATAGAATTTTTATTATCATAACAAAACAAGAATTGAGATAATTATTTACTATGTGATATGGTCAAAACAAATTATTAAATTATGAAAAAAATTAATCATGTATTTCAATATGTATCTCATTTTTATCATTTTCAAACAATTTATTGGCTTATTTCAATATGGAAATAGCAAAATAACAAATTAACTGTAGTTTAGGTGAGAATGCTCACAACTTGAAAATGGCAAAAATGGGCACTAATTCGCTATAGGCAAGATTCGAACCCATGTACTCAATCTAAAAGATCAACTCTTCTACCACTCGTCCGAACCTTAGTTTCTTGTCAGATTATTGTGCACACAATTAATATTTTAACATCTATTTTATACGTAATTTTTCACAATCCGAAGAGATTTTGTACGTAGTTTCAAAATTTTCGGGGGGGCCGGGGCCCCTCCGAAGTCCCGAGGCTCCACCTCGCTCCGCCCCTGAGTATGTTTCATATTTGAGGTGGTGCATGGACCTCCCTCATCTCCATGAGATCAACATACCTGATATTGATGAGAGAGACTCGTCGTTATTAATGGTGGCTCTCTCATGATCATTTGAAGGAAATGGTTTCTCTCCTCTTACTTAATACCTACGCCCTAGCCATCTTAGCCTCCAGAACAGAAAGAAAGAAAGAGGTGATAATAATGGGATCAAATCAACCCCCTTTTCCCAATTAAGCACCTTTTCTGGCTTTGTCTACTCTCCTCCATCCACCTACGTGTCGGGGAAAGTGATTTCTAACTGATCGATGTTTGTGGTTAGAATTAGAAGAATGGATGGGAAGATCAAATTGGGACAAGGTAATAATTAATTCCCATGCACGTACGTCAGCCACCAACCATGTTTCCTCTTAGTCCAATTAAAGTGGGTTTTGGTGGGGAACTTCGTAGTTCATGTCAGGTGAGATATGTTTTGGTGGGGAACTTCTGTTATTCGATATTCCGATATCTGATACCGATATATGTACCGTTTGGTTGATTACTGCGCTGAAGTTCGTAAAAGAAAACGTTATATAGTTAAGTTACGAATAAAATACGCGTACGGGGTTGTTTTTACTTTGTCACTGAACTAATGGTACGTTTAATAGTAAGTCAACGATAATAATATACGTACGTAAAATTAAATGTTTTAAAAATATATAAGTTAAGTTAATCTAGGTCATAGAAAACGGATATTAAACGTGTTATACGGCTTTATCCATGTTTAGTACGGGAGATATCAAATGAACGAGAAATGATATTAGATGTCTCGGTGAATAATACGGGTACGAGGAAGTTTTATACGTGCATTAAACGGGGAGAATATGTGTACTAATTGTTACTTGTTCAGCAAGGTTCTAGCCCTGCAGATTCATTATCTTCATCAATGGATCAAGATAAAAGTTGGGACATTCCCCTGTCCATGTCAAAGTTTGACCCTCCCCCTCTATGGATAGGCTACTGGCACACTCCATTTGCCGATTTTGTGCAGCAAACCCTAGCAAAGCAAAGCAAAGCAAAACCAGCGGTCTGTCTAATTGCCAAACGATCCCTCC